AATATGATAATATCCTAAGTGAGTAATTGCTCCGGAAGAGAATATGTGAACAATAATTGATTTTGATTGTTCCCATTACTACAATTTATGTTTAAGGACATGAACTTGATTTGGACTCTTGAAGAAATCAAGTAAGAGAAACTCAATTGTTGAAAATTTGAGTTCAAGATCAAAGATCTAAATGAGACTAATTTGTTGTCTCTGCCAACTTAAAATTTATCATGTCAATTATATTTATGTCCATCAATCGAATTACATCAAGAAGATGTTATGGATAAAGAGAAATTATCGAGTAACACCTATGGGAGCTGGAAAGTGGAAAATGTCCAATGATTCATTCCGTCCCATGGAGCAGGACAATGAAGTGTTAGCACCAGAAGTGCCATATGTAAATGCAATATATGCATTATTATGCTTAACTCCATGTACTCGATATGATTTAGCTTTTTCGGTAAATTTATATGATAGACTTATCACACCTTACCGACACGCCCTATGCATCAATGAATGAGGCGAAACTTGTGGTTTATATTGGCATTGACTAGAAGTCATATCCACAAAAGGCTCGTTCCCAATCCATGGTTAAGTATTGGGAAGATAGCTATGTCTTGGGGTTCTATGAAATGTACTTCGGTTGTCACTAGATCAAATCATGCATGATGTTTGTTTCACAAGATAGTGAGTGAATGCACTTGGCCTGAAGCCATAATTAAGCATGTTCGAGATTTTTGTGAATTAGCTACCACAAAAGATCCTAAGAGATTGTATTTAACTGCATTGAGCAAATGAAGACGAGCTTCATTAAATGTGACAACTCCAAGAACATAGTTATGAGGTTTTCTTCAATCAACAATAATAAGAACTCAAACAATAATGATTCAGTAGATCATGAAACATGATAACTACGCTGACTTATTCACTAAGTTTTCGCCTAAAGTCACTTTGGAAAAGTATGTTAAGGATGTTGACTTGCGTAGATTATACAAGCTCGCTCCCTTGTAGACATCAGGGGGAGTTAACTTGAGGGGGAGTACCCTGCAGGTACTCAGTATCCAGAAGATACCCGAGTGCCCTGTTGTACTCTTTTTCCTTCGTGCGAGGTTTATTTTTCCCACAGGGTTTTAGTTACTCGACAAGGTTTTAATGAGGCAACATTTGTTGATTGAAAAGATTGTGCGTTGTACTCTTTTTCCTAACCGAGATTGTTTTTTTTTCCCCAATGGGTTTTATGACTCGGAAGGTTTTAACGAGGCAACACAAAAAGCACAATAGTGGTTTGATAGGAACCCAAGGGGGAGTGTTGTAAATAGTATGGAATGTGTGGTTTCCTAACATAACCACTTGATGGTTTTCAACTTCCCACTAGTTTATTAACTTCCCATATCTATATATGGAGTTAGTGGCGATGTAACTTCTACGTAACTTCCACATGTAACTCATTTGTAACTTCCCGGTGGCTACCACCTATATAAATGAGAAACACTCCCTCCCCACGTATCCCACAATTTTCTCTCTACGGATTCTTGTTCTTTGCATTCTCTCTTTCTCTCTTTGTCTTGTTATTTACATTCTTATGTATTTCCACAAACACAAACCAAAGACCTAGATAAATAGGCCATTTTACAACAACTTTAAAAATATATAATTTTTTTTTTTAACGAAGGAAACCGCAGCCGATCGACAATATATCTGCAATGAGTTGTAGTTAATTTGTGTTATTCTTATCAAATATGAACATTAATGGATTATAATGATTTTTTTATTTTTTGGGCAAATAACATTAAATCACTTGAACTTTTTAAGTTATTGCGGATCACTCTATGGATATTTTTTTTTTTTGCACGAGTTCATCTGTACTCAATTAATTGTGTTACTGTCCTTTTTTGCTTGTTTCTGTCAAAATGACAGGTTCTGAACTCATGCGGGTTGCCCATGCGAAATCCAATGCTATTGTTGTCCTTTCGATTTAAGAAACCCTAAATCCTTCAATTTCCCTCCATTTCTCTATTATCTCCATTATTTTTTGACCACGTTTTTCTTCCTTCGTAGCTAATGAGTTTTGTAGTCCAATTATTGATGACGAAAGGTGGAGTTTTTTTTAATTCTAGGGTAGTTGGAAAGGCAGCCAAGATTTTGACCAAACCTCCACTAGAGATGTTAGGTGTTACATTTATTGTTTCTGATTTTAATAATAATAATAATAATAATAATAATAATAATAATAATAATAATAATAATAATAATAATAATAATAATAATAATAATAATAATAATAATAATAATAATAATAATAATAATTAATACTCTAATAATAATGTGAGATCCAAGAACATGTTGTTGTGGAGTTTAAATATTTGACAAGTGGGACGTTCAATCCACGGTGGAAAGACAAATTTTGATCCAACGTGTAAGAAATAAAACATTAAATTGACACTTTGCACCCTCGAATTAGATGTCATTGAAATTTTGCACCTTTAAATTTCTCTGAAGCTACATTGTTTTTTTTAGGGTAGTTCAACATATATAACATCTATTTTGTTACGATAATTTAATCAATTGATTAGATTTTGCGGTTTTCATATGATTTCACCATCTAATGATTAGTCCGCAATTTAAACAACAATATTGATAATAATAATAATAATAAACTCATAAACTAATATATATATATATATATATATATATAGACTAATAATTATTAATTTATAAATAATTTAATAATTCACTAGATTAATAAGATTATATTAGTTCCAACCGGACCACTTTATATAGGCAACAAAAATCCTAGGAAATGTAAAGTAGACCAAATTGGTCCAAAATTCATGCATTTTGTGCATGCACACGTGCACTCATACAATGAATAATGCAATTCGTATTTTTGCGCATTTGTGCCAAGAACAGTTGTTTCACCCCTCCAAGAAAAAAAAATAAAAAAAATTCTTAATTATTAATTATTGTTTTTTCAAAATAATACCAAAAAAAGATAATCAGGGTCGCTGCCATCGAAACCTCGTAAATTCTTAGTTCATTATTTTCAACCCCCTCCCGGCTCCCCCCAACAAAATCATCCTGACTCACCCCTAGTAATAAATAATATGCATGTATGTATGTGTTTGTGAGTGTGTGTCTATATATATATATATATAATGGTGTCAGTTTTTTTAATTAAGCAGTAAACAGTAAATAGTAATGCCATGGTGCTGCTGTTGCGAAGAAATGGTTGTTAATTGTTTTAGATTGTATTATCTCTACTTTTGACAGCCTGGACTGGGATAGGCGCTGCTGCCACTGATTAATTACTCTCTAAATTATATTGCAAAAAGAACCCTATTTTTTTTTATACTGTTAAAAATATTTGTATATTTTTTGTTAACAATAATTCATATGCTACATTTTTTGTTAGTTCATTTTTTACAAAATAGAGAGACTTTAGACCATCAAGGAAATCAAGATGACATCTATATATCCTTTACTTTTTTCTTTTATGTGTACAAAGTTAAAAATATATGCCTTTTAGCTACGGACGAATCTGTTGTTAAACAACGTAAATCCGTCGCTAGTACATGGTTAGCCACGAATATCGTGCCTCGCCAAATCCGTAGCTATGCCGCGTTGCTAATATTTAGCTACGACTTAGTATAGTCCGTCGCTATATGTGGCGACAAAATAATCTATTGCTAATGACCATCAATGACGTTACTAAATTCGATCGACAGTGACAAGATATTCCGTAACAATAAATCCGTCGCTATCTGAAACAAGCATTCTAATTAGAGAGGCGTACATCCTTGCCGAATCCGTTGCAAAAACAATATTAAATTTAATTAAAAAAAATTAAAAAAATAAAATATTAAAATAAATAAACATCGCATATTTTTTTTTCCAAATACATCACTAGCTTGTTTTTATATTTATTTTATACCTTCAATCCTAATTACAAATTACAGTAAAGTGTTCAAAACAGTTTAGCGCAATACAAATCATAAATTTCAATTCTATCCTATATATAAGAACTACAAAGACCTATATCCATTACCATCTTCATCTTTCTCTTCATCTTGGTCTTCTATTCGTGCATCTCCATTTCCTTCTCCATCAAAACTTTGTCTCAGACCACTGCCTAATACAATAAAAGTTGAAGTAAAGATGAATATTATTTCTAACAGCTAAAAATAAATATCATTTGTGCTCACAAACTTATGCAAATTAAATCAGCTTTATTAAACAGAAAAGAGAATATATAGGAACAAAAAATGCATTCACTTCGGGAGCACATTAAATAAAATTAATGCATAAACTAACTGAAAAGGATGAAAGTGAAAAAAATATTACCGGAATGGAAGAATTGGAGCTGCGATCAGTTGATCCATCAAAACATAATAATGCAACCATTATCATAAGAATGGACAATATCTAAAAAGCCAAGCATCCAAGTCCTATACACAATACATAGAATGTTAAGAAAAATTACATTAACAATCAACAAAAGCATTTGTCTAGGCAATTTGCCTCAAAACTTGTATGAAACAAATATAGACATCCTCGATGGAAAAATAGCCAATAGTTAATTAATCACATGCTAATAGCCTAAAATTAAGACCTCAACATACTTAATAAAAATCCAAATAATAAAGCTAAGAATAACAAAGAGCACTATTTCTAATCCTTATATCACGTTTTAAGCAAAACAATACCTCGGTTAAGTATGAGGAATAACATAAATTTGACAAAGAATCAAATAAATATCAGCCAAAACCTATGTCCTTCTACAATTGAAATCATTATTATTATAACGCACCTCTTTCCATCTCTGATACTATTGGGTTCATCAAGTGAGAAAATTTTGCTAACATGCTCAAATCTCTATATTGGTCCTCCAACTTCTTCAACAATTTTGCAGAATATTACAGACATCATTGGGTAAAATGGATTAGTCATAACTAATTTCTATGTACCAACGAAATGATATGCTACACATCAAAATTATAGCAAAATCCAATACAATTTTGTCCCATTCTATTTGAGATTAATATATAATTGTAATATTATAACTAGATAGGCTAGCAATAATTTACCTCAATGGCTTTGACTTCAACCACAAATACTTGTATCTTCTAAAATGTCCTTTATATTTAGAATATGGAATTCATCTGAGCTCTTGAATCCTAAAAAATAATTCAGTCAATAATGTAAAAAATAATATTTGCAACGAACTAACAAATTTGCTTGCTACTGTGGAAACACAAATGACAAAAAGATGTAGTAGAGTGAAATGTAAAATATAAATCTGGGTGAAATAATAATATCCTACTGGTTTTATGCACAATATTTTTCAATCCAATTACATCACAAGATTGAGCATGTTAACAAGCACATAGTTCTTACATTGAATCTTGATGTTCCCAGCAAATAAAACATTGATACCTGCCGATAAGGAAAAAAATGTATCATAAAAATTACTCAGCACAAAAGTAAGAATTTAAATACTAAAAATATTTTAAAATTAGATATTGAATCGGTTCACCATTACCCGTACATATGAACATTGGGTTCTTTGATAAAATAATCACCGGAAAAATTATGTCAATAAGTTCATATCTTGTGTTCCTTCTTCACATATCCGTCATGCTTTTTTCCTTTCCTCATTCTGTGCCTTATTCAATAAAAATGTTGTCGCCGCATTCCGTTTCACCTGCCCCTTTATCAAATTGGATTTTTTTTTCAAATTTTGTGCGATGTAAATTCTCGAGAGAGAAACTTTATTTGGATTGCAGAGGAATCGTTAACAATCGGCGATGGTGGAGTCGAAAATTCAAGGTCTGCACCGGTGGTAGGTTGAGGCGAGAGAAAATTGAATTGAGAAGGCTGGCTAGGGTTAATTGGGGTCTTCATATGGAAGAAGATGAAAATGTAAAAATAGAAAAGGGGAAAGAAACGGGAAAGGGGAAATAAAAAAGTCAGTAATGTTTTTATGTTTATTTTATTTTAGAAACAAATTGCTCTCTCTCTCTAAGTTTCCTTGCAAATTATTTATTTTAGCCACGAATTTTCTAACCGTCGCTATCTTTTGTTGTTAAAATTAGAAGTTTATGAATAAAGGAATGTAATTTTCTTCTATCGCTAATTCCGTCGCTAAACATTCATTTTAGCCAAAAATCAGTTGTCCGTATCTAATGCCCGTCGCAAAATCACAATTTTCTAGTAGTGTAGGGGCGGACATTAGTGCTTTGGGAGTTCGGCGCCCCAGCATCATTTCACTAAACTTATTTAAAATATATTTTAAGCTCCTACATCTGATAATATGTTTTAGGAGTTAATAAGTCTTAGATCTTATTTTAAAGATTAAGTTTTAAGGCGTTTGGATATGGATGCTATAACTTAGTTTAGTGTAATATTATATTTTAAATATTTTGGTAAATGAACAAATAATATCTTATTTTAAACATGTATTCTTTTTAAAACAACTTAAAAGTTCTCTCACAGTTAATTTTTTAAAACAAACGATCTTTTGAAAAGAAAAAAATACCAAATATTTTTCACTCTAGCTTATAAGTTCTTAAACGTCTTATGAGTTTCTTAATATATTTTTTTTATTCATGTATATTATAATGTATTTTCTTACCTAAAAAATAAAACATTCACTTATTATACCAAAATTTTCAGTTTCAAAAGTGTCAGTAAGGATAATTTTCATCCACCATATAGCCCTCCAACGTCTTATAAGTTTCTTAATAGATTTTTTTTATTCATGTATATTATAATGCATTTTCTTACCTAACAAATAAAACATTCACTTATTATACCAAAATTTTCAGTTTCAAAAGTGTCAGTAAGGATAACTTTCATCCACCACCTCTAAAGTATAGCCCTCCAACGTCACCGACGGCGGCAGTGGCAGAGCCACCCTTTGGTAAGGATGGGCCCACTGTGAAATCTTAATATTTTATACTATATATATCTTATATGTATAGGGCTCTTTTGGTTTGAATGTTGGTATTGATAGGTCGGTATATGATAATTAATATTGGGACAAACATGTTTGCTAATAACACTAATCCTGCGGTTTGGTTGACTGCATTAGTTGTACAAATTACAACTAATATTATGTTTTGTTTTATTGATTTGTAATTGTTATGTGGGATTGTGAGTAAAAAGTCTTAAATGTCCTCCAATTTACAACACCTCACCTACCATCACTTCTCCACTGTTTCGTAAAAAAATAAAACAACCCCATTAAACATTTTCTATACAACTCATCTTCTCCCCTAATTTTGTCTGAAACCCTAAATTGCATATACCCAAAATTGTAATATAGCCATGAACGTTTTAATATCTTAGTACAAATCTTGTGAAAATGAGTAGTTCTAGTAGTGGTGTGAATAGCAGATCAAGTAATAACAAATATGATGGAGGTGTTTTGCATTCCCCATATCCAGAATATTGTGATTGTGGCTTGAAGGTCCGGGTACAAACGTCTTGGACGGTGGCGAATCCGGGACGACGTTTTATAACTTGTCCTAATAAAGGGGTAAGTATTGAGTCTGTTACCTTTAAAAATATTCGGGTACAAATTTGTGTCCTCGAATTTGGTTTTTTTTTTTTTTTTTTTGCAATGAAATAATAAAATTTTTGTGAGTATTTGATTTTTTATATGCTATTAGACACAAAATAAAATTTGTTCTTTGTTTGTGGTGCTGTGTTTCTCTTGCATATTAACTAGGTTTCTAGAATTTTGAAAATCCATCTATCTTGCATATGGATGTAAGAAAGTATAATTACGAAGATTACATTAGTGTAACATGAATTTTGGTAACTAAGCTTGAAAGGCATATTCCATATTTCACATTTCACATTTATTTGTATTATGATATTTGTACAGTTACATTTTTAAATCATACACAGGCAAATAGCTGCCGATTTTATTTTTGGTGTGATCCCGAAATGTGTGCAAGGTCGAAGCAAATCATCCCCGGGCTGTTGAAAAAAATAAATGCTTTGGAATGTCAATTAGAGCTGAAGAAGAAGGAAGTTAAAACATCGTATGCTAGGTTTGCTGGTTATACAACGGCTATTGTTGTCGGCGGATGCATCTTATGTCTTATGTTAAGCTAGTATATTGGTATTTGTATGGTCGTCGGCGGATGAATCTTATGTATTATTTTAAGATAATATATTGGTATTTGTAATGTTTTGAAACAATATTCGTGTTTTGATTCATGCGGCAAAATTGGTACCTCGTTTCATTTTGGTGTGTGGGGATTCTATTGTAATATATGTTGGTGGTGATTCCTTGTTCATTCGCGCTGCAATCATTTGGTTTCTTGTTCTCGACATGTTTACTACATAAAAATGAGTACATACAACAAATGAGACAGAGATGTGAAAATTAAAATATGTTCAATCGAACATGCAAATTTATATTGGAATTCCTGTAGTTTTATAACCTTCTTCAACAAATGTTCAGTAAAAGAAAATGATGGATTGCCTCAGTATGCTAAAAAACTAGATTAAATATTTGTTTAGGAAGAAAACATTTATAACAACTAGCAAAGGGATAATATCAACAGTCTGCAATCTGCAAGAGATTGCAGCATATAAGGCATTCATTGCACACAAAAAACGTAAATATTATGTGATCGATACCTGCATTACTCAATTAACACGCATGTTTGTATTTATTACTAGTCTGCCCTGCTCTGATGAATTTTTGATTTCGAATTTAAATGCTTCAACACCACTTACATATATTGAATGTCCAACTACTCATTTTTTAATTATAAACAAAGTGATTAATGCAAAAATATGTATAAAAGCACAAAGATAAAACTAAAAAAAAATGAACAATTTTCTAAACATATAATACTAAGTCAACTTTTATGCAATTACTGCATATATTCTGTACAAAATCTTATCAACTTAATGCAAATTGTATTGTCAATCACAGCCCCCATTTTGTTTTTGAAATAAATGAATTGCAATAGGGCAGTTGTAATTTATTTCCCACAATTAATATAATTTAATTACCTCTATATATAATGACCAATTTGTTGTTGCTACTTGGATCAATTCGAACTCACCTTTTGTTTATTCATGGCACCTAAAAAAAAACCAATTTTTCGTCAAGAAGATTTCTTATACGAGCTAGAATGGAATGAGAAAATTGACGATTACTTCATCGAACAATTGTGTCTGGAATCATCTCTCGGCAACATCGAACGTGGGGGAAAGAATACTCTTGTACTTTTCAGTGTTCAAGAGGCTATCCAGCATAAGTTTAAAATATTTTTCTCCTACAAACATCTCACCAAGAAGCTGGATCTTCTCCGTAAAAGATTCACAACATTTCACTGGATTATATCCCAGACTGCAGTGATTTACAACTCAGCCACAAACAATATTTCTGCACCAGACAATGTTTGGGATTATATTTTGAAGGTGTACATTTTTTTTCACGTATTCAATTACAAAAAAGATGAATTTTGTGCATATCAACTAGCATTACCATTTTTTTATTAATACATTACATTTTGTTTTGTTAAATGTAGACAAGTGGTTTCGCATTTGCGTACCGCCACATCGGCGAACCGAAGTATGAGGAACTCAAATGCATTTTCGGCACCGCACCCGTTCATAACCCGAACGGTGACGAAGAAGTTATATTGTTGTCGTCCGACGACGATCAAGATGCAACAAATGAAGTTGTACCGGAACAAGATGCACGTGTGGGAACTAACGCTGAAGCGTTTGAAGCTGTGGCTGAACAAGAGTTTGCCAATCTCGTCCCTAACAACACACCATCGGTTATTAATATTTCCTCAGGTACATCAAACAGTGTTGAGTTTAACGTACGAGATTATCTTATCTCCGTCTCTGATTCTGAGGGTTCAAGGGACACCGAATTTAGCACGGCCAACTCAAAGTTCGTCGAGGAAAATGAGACATCTACCAACCCTATCTTAAGGTCGAGGGCGGCAAACATTAAGAAGTACAACCCATTTGGCACACCTGTGAGCTCATCGGCTTCAAACAAGCCGCACTTTATTTACATCACCCCCACAAAGGACTAGGCAATGTGTTGAATGTTGGTTTATTGTAAAATATTTGGTTGTTTTGCTTTTTATAATTCGGGGTTCTGTCTATTCACAATGCATGTAAGTAGGTTGTGGATTTGCATCTTTTGATAGTGGTATAGATGCCACTAATGTAAAATAGGGCATATCTTATTTGGTGCAGTAATATGTGTGTTGTCTGCTAGTGATTACATATAACTATTATGTTTATATTGTTCTAGTATGTGTGGTATTTTGATAGTGGTTTACATCACTATTGTAACATACGATAAGTATTTAATGAAATCTTGTTATGACTTACGCATTGTTTTTATTTTATGCAAATTTACAAGACACAAGTGATAAGCCAACTCAAATACATTTCATCAAAACAAGAGAAGGCATATCCAGAATACATCGACATTATACAAAATATTTTGACTTAGTGGTCTTAACGGCTATCTCGATTACAATTATACACCAAAAAGCTGAGATGCCAAATAAGAAAATAAAATATAGTCCAAGTACTACTACTACTACTAATAATAATAATAATAATAATAATAGGAACAACAAATAACGAATACCATCTAATAACGACCGTCAATGATCATCTTCACCATGCTTGCCTTGTGCGCATCAGTCAAACAGAAAAAGATGTCGAGATCTTTGCTGTTTTCGCAAATGCGAGAAGTTACATTAAGCCTGTCCTCAAATGAAAGGTTTTCGATCATTTCTAGTGCATCAAACACTTTTTTCCTAGCCGCCGACACATCTTTCTCAAAACCCATTCGGCTAACCAATTCACTCAATTGGAATTCAGTTTTCTCAAAGAAATTGGCCATCATGTCAACAACACTTGTATCTAAGGGATCCACACGGCGACGTTTCTTCGAAGATTTTGATGTAGTCTTCCCGGAGGTTGCCTCATCACCGCGGCTAAACGTCATGTATTGAGAATAAGTGTCGGTTTCCAAAGGATCTAACTGTGGGATATAGTCATCGCCAATGGACATTGGTTCCTTCCCTTTGGAGTTCGCGACTAGATCATTGATCGCTTCGGTGAATGTTTCTGCATTTTCACCCGTGGCACGATCTTTTCCAAAAACTTGGGTCCAATCTTTATAGAATGGCCACGACTTGTATCGCATTGAACGAGCGCTAATGTCCGTCTGCAATTTTTATCCAATATATACATTAGAAATATATTCAACCATTATATGATGACAACGATTAAAACCAATATGATACGATAAAAAACATAAGTAACCTGCCTTTATGTATTCCTGCCAAACTTGGTCATCAACAACTTCAATAGTATTGGTTGTGTCATTCCAACCAAATCCCGACCTAGACAACATTGTACTTAAAGCCCCGTACTGTTTCTTCCACACATGAATTTTAGAATGGATGTGTGGGTCGGCCTTGAGGTCGGTACCGGGAAATTTTTGAACCATAAATTGTTCGAGAGTTCCTAAGTATCCAGTTTTAAACCCGTTGTCACATTTCCAACCTCGTGACACAATATCTTTCAAGGCAAGAATCAAACTTTGCTCTTCATGCAAAGTCCAACTGCGCCTACTAACAATCACACGATTTTTACCATCACCAGGTTTTTTTGACCCCGTATTCGTGTCCATGGTCCCTGTATTGTAAAATAATTAAGAAATTTAAATAGATACAATGAAAACCATTTTACCATCAACATTAGACAAAATATGAGTCTGAATAAACACAATTCAAATAGTAAACATCAAACAGGGCATAAAATAATTGTCTAAAACAAGTTTCGACTAATACAACGAATTAATACTAACGACTTTGTAGCCACTCATTATACATGTTCATGGCAATGGTATCCCGCCACGAAGTCCATTCTTGTGACGTCTCAACGGTATTAATGTAATCTTCACCATTAACCAAACCCGGATTTTTCCTAAAAAATTCATCTAGTGTTTCTTCTTCAGGGTCAAAATCATTAGTCGTTCGTATAAAATTATGTAGGAGACAACATGCCATTATAATCCTATTTTGTACTTTAATGGGGTAATAGGCTGGACTTCGAAGTATGCCCCATCTTGATTTCAGCAGACCGAATGCTCTCTCGATTATATTCCTTGCCTTTGCATGTTTCATGTTGAAAAATTCCATATAGTTCCGAGGTGCAGATTGGCCTTGACCGTATGCATCAAGATGGTATCTAGTACCTCTGTACGGTGCTAGAAAACCCTCCCCATTTGTGTAACCGTTATCAACCAAATAATAGTTACCTGTAAGTGTCAACGAAGTCTACGGTTGGAAATGACTAAGAATATTAAAAATTACGGAAAGTTTGAAGAAATATTAACATAGTATGTCTCCAACAATATATGAACATACCGGTGGGTATCCGCAAACCATTTTCTCTAGTTACCGCATCCCGAAGTATTCTACTGTCCGCCGCAGAACCTTCCCACCCCGTAAGAAGGTAAATAAAGTTCATATTGTTATCACAAACGGCAAGCATATTCACTGACACGTTACCCTTGCGGTTCCTATATCTTGGCTTATCAAGACAAGGAACACGAACTCCAATGTATGTTCCATCTAAAGCACCAAGACAACCCTAATATCCGTATGACGAGTGAATTTGTTAATTATATAAAATACTTAAAGAAATAATTGTTTATGTAATTACATAACATATATTACCTTAAAGTGTGAAAAACGCACGTCATCTGTATTTTCGCCAACAGGTTGTGGGGTAATCAAAAGCATTGAGTGCAACTTTAGTAAAGCTAGGAGGACACGATTGAAATGGATGCTGATGGTATAACCGGATCGGTTGAAATGACTTCGGGCGACGACATTTTTTGTGTGGTGGGCCAAAATTTGAAGAAAGATTGCAACTTGTTCGGGAATAGATACATTCCTATTTGGAGCTAGGCCCCCTACGTTTTCTAACAAATAACACAAACGAAAGAAGGTTTGTCTGTTCATTCTAAGATTGTCACGACATGTGACATCATTAAAGCCAACAAGTGTACGTAAATAGTCTAATTGAGAAGGTGTTCTCCCTATCAAACTATAACGTACAGTCTCATTATCCAATGGGCCTAAACGACGGCGCTTAAGTTTGAGGTAAATACGCAAGAACATGAACATAAAAAGCCTTATATTAAACATTATCTGATTCAACGCTACTATAACCTCCTCTTCTTCTTTCGATATAGCCATCATATGCCAACAATGCCTACAACTCCGAATATATTTAAAAAAAATATGCAGTTATAATAGCAACCTGAACAAAATAAAAACAAGAAACCCATCATATAGAAATGATAAACAAAATAGGCATACGTCTATTAAAAACATAATATCACTAATGCCCAAATTTAAAAAAAAAAAAAAAAAATCACAATGATCCTAGAAGAGAAAGTCAGGGAACTTCACATAAATACATTTTCATCATATATGGTGGAAAATTGATAGTCATATCACATACGGTTTGAAACCTAACCTCTGGCTTCGTCGACTCGGGCAATTAATTGCGAAGCCACAAAATTCCCTACAAAACCCAACTGAAACCCTAAATTTAGCCTGTCATATAACAGAAACGCACAAACATACAACCATTTCAGTTGTTCATACGATTTACAAAGGGACCCGGATGAAGTGAAATAATTAAACATTGCATACCTTTTTTCTACAGATATGGTGGTGGTGACCTAGCCCGTTCAGATCTCCTCACATAAGCATCATTCCTTCATAATAGGAACGAAGAAAATAACAAATAGTTAAAATTCATTCAACAGGTAAAAGGAAATTCAAGATTCAATTGAAAAAAATCGAAGTTTGTGGTTCACCGATTTCTGGTTTTACTTGTGTCTGTCGTTCAAAGAGTTTTCCTGCAAAAGGAAAAGTAGGTGAAAATTGTTATTTATATTATGTTTTATGGTAATTTAGTTAATATGCCAAGGACTTCCATGTCTTTACACACTACAAAAAAGAAGGGATAATAGCCTTGACAAAGAATCAGCCCAACTTTGGGCTGACTAGCAGTCATCGAAATGGATGACAAAAAGGAGTGGGGCCATCTATCAAGGACACAAAATAATGTCAACCAAAGTATTTATTAGGTGGTAAAACTAGTGCCATCCTTGCTAATAAAACAAACCAAAAGAGCCCATAGTTTATTGTATATTTAGTCCATCAAAATAATTTAAATTCCCTTTGGTAAGGGTGGGTTCCAGCCCACTGTGAAATCTTAATGTTTTATACAATATATAGCTTATATGTATAGTTTTATTGTATATTTAGTCCATCAAAATAATCTAACTCAGCCCATCCCACCAAAACTCAAAATATATAGGCAATGTTTGGAAGCGTTTTTGAACTTATTTTGATTTCATTTTGAGGAAATATGTTTTGTGGGAAGAATTTGAGAATGAAAGTAATGTTTGTTTGAAGTTTGGAAGGAGACAAAATACACTGTAATATTTAAAAATGTTGGAAAAATGTATTTTAGAAGAAAAAAATTGAAAGATGAAGTGATATTTATTTGTTTTTTAGTGAAGACATATTTTACTGTAGCAGTCAAATCATTTTACAGTAGCAGTCACATCATGTCTAAATATTACCATCCTTTCAAGAGGCGCATCCAGAACCGTGTTTCTTTCGGATGGATCAGATGGGAGGGAACAAAAACTTGTATTTATAAAACTTTATTAAATAAAAAAATCAATTGTAACTACATTAATATTTCTATATATGATCTTGAATCTACAGTTTAGCAAAAGATATCAAAATTTCTTAATGTCTTCCATTGTGACTTTTACATTCCAACCAACAAAAGTTACTTCTTTGGTAACCAAAAAAAATTGCATATAGGCAGTCATACTTATTGAATATTCGACTATTAAAGTGAAATGTAATTTATTATTTTAACTTTTCTAAATTAATTTTATATATTTAAATATTCAGTTTATTATTTTTAGTTAGTGAACTATTATCTATTAATTTTGTGGTAAGGATTAGTATGTTAGTATAAATTAGATAGATTTGTAGTGGAGATCATTGTGTAATTTTGTTATCCTCTTATTTGCTTTTTTTAAATATATATTTGTTGATAAATTGCTAACACGTTTGTTTTGTGGGAGATGATATAATTATTGACAAATGGACTTAAATACTCTTTTTATAAAATTGAAATATAATATCTTCATAATATAAAAATAAAAATTTGATTTCTCTACTGAAGAGCTTCATGCAATCATTGATCCATTACTTTTATTGTTTTTTTGTCAATCGATTCTGCTCCAACCTGATTAATTTGGAGATGAGCTCTAGATTCAGCAGGGGCGTCGGTGGACGCGTATCTCACAACACGTTCCGTGAAACGGCGCAAGTTTCACTTAGACTCCTAAAAGTTCATTTAGACTCGTAAAAGTCATAAGGCAGTAATCCAACGTCGTTTAGACTCCTTAAAGTTCGTTTTTGCTATTTTAATCAAGTTTTAGAAAATTGATAGCAAATAATAGAAACATCGGATTAGAATTCCGAAAATTGGGTTGTTCCAAAAAATATGAGATCTACTAGAATCAGGCTCTAACTTTTTTTTGCCATTTTTGGTAATTTTTAGTATTTTCTTAGTTTAATTAGGGTTTTTAGTTTATAAGTATAAATAGCTGTCTTATGACTTTATTTTAAGAGAAATTCGAATTTTAATAAAAACCTTTAGAGTTTTATTTATTTTCTAGTGGATTCTAGAGTTTTCGATGGATTTCAAATGTTATTTTGTTCTATAGGATTAATTCGTTGCAATTACTTTATTACCGTGCTTCCATTCTACGTCAATAGTTTTTAATGCAACAGAATTGAATTGAAGACATTGCAAATATTTTCATTGACTTCATGGTCGTTGAAGTGCAACTTGGTAGCCTTGTTTGACCCGACAAAACAGAAGGCACTTTATTCCTAGCACAAGACATTATCACAACCAAGTACGGTCTATTTTCCCCCGAAAATTTCATGCTAAAAAAATTCGGCCTCCTTCGTGGTCGATTTGAAAACTTCCAGTGGTTGTTGAAGCTAGATGGTGGTACTATGATCCGAAAATCAATATTATCACTGTTGCCGGTGTAATATGGTATTACATAATGAAGGTAAACAAGAACTATATATAACCACCATTAAGGTTTAATATGTCTATAATGTAATTTTTTTTATGCACATTATTGTAATCAAAATTGGCAAGAGTTGTCGGTTCTTTTCCAAGATACTGTGGTGTACGCTAAACCCCACATTACTGATGTTGTTGTAATATCGTCTGACAGCGAGGGTGAACCGAACAATGAAAATGCTACGGACGTCCCACAAGGCCCAATTGCACAAGCCGAAAATGGTAACATTTCTATCGTCAATATTTCGTCTTTTCTTCGGAAAAAAAACAAGGAATTCAACATTTCGGACTACTTGAATTACTAATCTGACTCGGAGGGTTCATAAAAAATAATTCATAGTGCTGTGAACACTTTCAATTGTAGTGCTGCCGGGATACGTACCCGCCCCACTCCAAACCAAAAACATGGGAATAATCGAACTTATGCAAAAAAGGATAAGAAAGCTACCTCAGTTTGTTCGAATAACCCGAAGATATGAGAAGACCATTTGACAAAACCAAACTCAATTTTTCCCCTCAACATTATTTATATATATCTATAATGTTTCGTAGGTGTGTTGTTTATCCTTTGTTTCGTATTAAAAATATTTCAGTGTATGTAAGCACTTCTCTTTCCAAATTGTATTAATATGACATTGCATTTTGTGTGACCAATGTTTGAGAATTGGTCCATGAATCATATTTTGTTGCACTTATATATTTTTATTGATCTACCTTATTTTTTTCTTCTCTCTATTAATAGTGGGAATCATGCATTTCACCTATTTTACATTAAAAAAGGCGAACCGTGAATACTACAAAAATAATTTAATACATATATGCTACGTCCATATTTCAATACATACTTCGTCAAATATTACCATAAAGTGAGCGAATAATAAAGTTTTGGAGGTTATGCGTCGCCTATACTACATTAAAAAATGGCGACATACACGTAGGAATAAAAATTGTACGATGACTAATACTTTCAATATTTTTCCATTATTTTTAATAATGTCCTTGAAGAATCATCGCCACCATTAGCTCCTTGTGTTCGTCGTTGAAATATGTCCATATCCTTGGTCGTTTCACAGAGGACTTTTGTAACGTGCAATTTGTTCTCGCCAGACAAGTATTTAAACGAGCTTAGAGCATCAAAAACCTTTTTCCTCGATTCCGACACATCAAACTCTACACCAACCCTTTTCACTAGGTGCCCCAATTTTTCATCAGCTTTATCAAAGAACTTGGTCATCATCTCAACGAATTGAATGTCTATCTCATTAGCGCGAGCCCTTTCCTTCTTCACTTTTCGGTTGGTTTTAGAGCTAGTCGCACTATCTCCTCCGAAAACAACACAAACGAAGTACTCTCGTCACTCCTAAAGAAACATTCACCCCCAACACTTGTCGGTTTTTTTTCCCTTCGAAGAACCAATTAAATTATTCACAGCTTCATCGAAGTTCTCGGCATTCTCTCCAGTGGCCGGATATTTGCCAAATTACAAGCAAATCATTGTAGTAAGGTCATGCCTTGTAGCGCATAGTAGGTGCAGATGGGTCAGTCTAAAAATGTTAACATGTTTTATATGTTAGCAAATGACATTAAATGCATACTATATATAACTTATAATAACTTAACGTATACCTTAACGTAATTATTCCAGGCCTCATTATCTTGTACATCAATAGTACATGACGAGTCATTCTATCTGATACCACTTCGTGACAATGTTGAGCTTAGTTTTCTTCCAAACATGAATATTGAAATTGATGTGTGGCTCAGCCTTCAAATCTGTCCCTGGGAACGAAACAGACATCGCACCCTCAAGTGAAGCAAGATAACCTGTTTTGAACCCGTTATCACATTTCCACCCACGCACACCAATATCTTTCAAAGCAAAAATCAACATTTGTTCTTCTATCAAAGTCTAAGTCCTTTGTGTGCTAACCGATTGCTCTTTCAAATTGGAGTTTCTTTGAGATATGCTAGTGTGTATGTATATATATATATATAATTTAATCTTGTGGACACAGCCCCCTCTACCCATTCATAGATCCGCCATTGACTGCATGCAACAATGGTGCTTTTTCAAAATTTGATACTCATAAACAAGAACCGAAAAGGACATTAATTCCTAAGATACTCACATCTTTTGCAATTTTTTGAGTAAAATCCTCACAATCATCGTCTCATGATTCCATATTGCATTATTTGGTAGATTTCTTAAATTTGTAGAGTTTGTAAATGAAGAAAAGATTTCTCGTTCAAACTCGAAACAACGGTTTGTAATGCGTGTTGTGTGGTTGGTGTTAGGATTATTCAGAATGTGCTATTTTTCCTTTCATTTTTTGGAAAAAGGCCAAATTGATCCTTTGATTAAATGACATATTTGGGAATACAAATTGATAAGAGTATGGTGAGGAAAAAATAAAGAAACAAAATATTAAAAAGCATATTCTTACTAGAAAAATATTTATCTACGTCAACTTTGGTTGCATAATTCTTTACTATATATTATCCAAATTTCAAAAATCATATTTTTACTTAAAACTATAACTGGGCATGTGCTTTGCACGTGTTTAGTTAATTTTTCATTTGAAGTCAGTTGTGTAATTGCAAATGATATTTACTATTAGACTTGAGATACATAGTTTATTTTTTATATATTTGGTATTAGTACTCAATTTTGAGGTTAATATCAAATTTTCAGAACTTTTACTAATAAATATAGTCTATAACAAAGAAAATAAATCAATTATAAAACTACAAAACATTATATATTTTCGTTAAATAATTGAGTAAACCGTATCATAGAGCAAATAGTATCATGAAACAATATAATTGATAATGCCACTGCAAAATCTCTCCAACTATAAATAAAGTCAAGTAGTAGGCGTAGCACATTCGATTTTACACGCTCTATAGAAATCGGTAGCAAAACAAAAACCCCGAGGGTTAAGCCATATAACCGACAGATAACAACTATGTACAACTGAACTCGAGTAACCCTAGTTAGTGACTTCTTACCATCCTGCACGATAAAATTATTTTTATCTGATCAGTTAATCTATTTAAGTCGAAGAAAAATCGAAATTAGGAAATACCGTACCTTCCTAATCGAGAAAGCTCAGGCTCTTGAAGCAGCAAATCCTGTAGTGGCGGCTTTACAGCAGTTTTCTTGGACGAAGAACTACAAAAATGACAAAAATAACCTTTACCAAGAAAACCAGAAACGAAAAAAAAATAATACTCGAAAAAGAAAAATAAAATAATATAATATAATATATACCCGTTAATGAAATCGAAAGAGAGCAGCCTGTGGTGAATGGTGGAGTGGGTGCCGACATAAGTGACGACGAGATTGCCGGCATCTGGGTGGGGCCAGCTTCTTGATGTAGGGAATCGAAGAACAAATGTTCCGGGGCATTGTTGAAGTATAATAGATTCAGCTTCTTCTTTAGTGATTAATCCTTCGATCCAAACGGGTGATACTGAGTTCCACATCTCGTTGACTGCGCTCTGTGATAAAGTGAAAGCCACCGGATATAACCAAGACCATATTCTCTCGAACTCTTCTTGGGAAACCGTGTCTCGACACCCGCCTATTCTCCGGAGACACTCGAAATCCTGCAAGTAAAAAATATTAAACAATTAGCACCCATGTGTTTACTTTAATTGCTAAAAAACTCCCCGTGTTATTAATATTAGCACAAAACCCCCCCTATGATGCATATATTTTAGAACACAACCCCCCAAAATGATGTGTTTTTAGGGGTAGTTGGCTAATAAAATTGAACCGGCTTTTTTTTATTTCTTTTTTATGAAATTAACCAGAAAAAAAATGGTTGAATTAAATTTAACTAAATAAAAATTGAACTACGCAAGTATTTTCTTCATTGTACGGAGTAGTATCTTGATCAAATAGATTTTACTCGTTTTTTTCGTTGATGAATATTCAGTTGCGTCCATACCAATATGCAATAGGTTAAAAACCTCAAAAGCGAGGACCACGTGTATATATATAAATATGCGTGAGAGAAAAAGAAAGACCTGGTTGGTCAAAGAACGAGGAGTGTTGACTATCTTGATGAAGTGTTGATTAATAGTGAAGACCAAATTGTCCCACGAAACGTGGTTGTTGTTTTCGGATACTGAAGTCCAAGCTTCTATTCCCTCCTTCACCAATTTCTGTGCTATTTTTATTTGATGCCTGAAATTTAAAGATATTTGCTTAATCAACACGAAAACTCAATAATTGCTACTTTATGAAATAATTGTGTGTGTGTGTGTGTGTGTGTGTGTGTGTGTGTGTGTGTGTGTGTGTGTGTGTGTGTGTGTGTGAGAGAGAGAGAGAGAGAGAGAGAGAGAGAGAGAGAGAGTTACTGGTGATGGGAGCATCCAGAGAACAGAGAAACCTGCTTGGCAAAGTGTGCTATTTGAACTTCACTAGCTGAAACAGCAATCTCCTTGAGGAGTTGACATCTCTCCGCGGGACCACCCATGCAATACTTAAAAATTATCAAATCCGGAATCGGATTAGAAATTCCTAGCATGCTTTTCGGGTCAGAGTTTGTTGCCTCGCTATTATCCGAACCAGACGAGTTATTGTTCTCTGCTCCATAACCGTTTTCCACTCTCCTGCTCATACTCATCCCGTGATTCTTCTCCTAATAAACAACAAAGTCACATAAATCTTCGTCACGAAAGAAAATTAAGTACAAAATATGATTTCCGAATTACTAGACGACCCCACGCATTTGAATATGAAAAACAAATGAAGGTTTTCAAAAGCTATAAATACCTTATTACTAGTCCAAGCACGAGAATTGTGTGGTTTGTTGTTAGCTTGTTTCGACATTGAGAACGGAATATCGTGCCCTAATTTAATCCTCTTCGACGAAGGATTAGGTTTGGCTAAACTGGGAATTAATCCCGCGGATCCATCCTCGCAGTTAGGATTTGACAACTTCCTCACAGTCTTACTACGTGAAACACAACGAATCGGAAGCGAAACTGCCTCAAAGAAAGGATATCTTCCCAAATTCGGCATCTCAAATCTAATCACAAACAGCCTGTTATCGCATTTCGACGAAAGCTGAAATATAAAAATATGAAAATTAAAAAATTCAGCAATCTATAATTCTATGATGTAGTTAAAAATACGAGATAAAAGAAATAATTATAAAATGAGGGAATATTCACCTGAGATATCTTGAGCTTAAACGAAATCTGACCGTTGATTATTTTACATGGTCGATCATGAGAACCGTATTCAACTCCGTCGCAAATCATAAGAAGAGGAGATTCAAAATCACCAGTGTTCTCGACAAAGGCCGCATTGTCAGCATATAAGAGTGAAGCCACAACCTTTAGAGAAAAAAAATACGAGCAAATATACACTTTTAAGTACAAGTATTTTTTTTCCGGTTATAATAAGACTAGCAACAACAACAAAATGAGACGTGTCGAAAACCTCGAATTCTTTGTTCACCGGACGACCAAAAGCATTCAATAATGTCACATCCAGTGAAAAACTCCTCCGACAAGATGCCTGTTTTTTTATTTTAAAAAATAAAATTAAAGGAGTGAGAATAAAAATCACGGGGTCGAAAAAAAAATTAATAAAAAATTAATGGTGATAAAATGATTTTAACCTTGCCACCGACAATGCTCCACACACCATCACATTCTTCTTCGATCTCGGAAGTACTTGAATGATCGATCAATAGTTGCACTGGAGGATCCTGCCATCAGAAACGAGATATTTCCATGAACAAATAAAAAAATTAAAAATTAAAAATAAAACAAAATAAACAAAAAAAAACCTTGGCGTAGTGATTTTTGACAGCCGACGTTGCGAAAAGGACATCAAGTTGATGAACATAACCGTGAAGCATATTCTCGTTTTCGAAGGGACATTCTAAATATAATCTTTTCAGAGCCTCCGCATGCAAATCCTTGTTGACCGAGCAAATCAAACTCTTCTCTCCCACGATTTCACCATCAATATTAAGCCTCACGACATCCCTCAATACCTATCAAGATTAAATTATTTCACTTCGATTTACATAAGATATTTACTCGATGCAGACATTAAACGAAGAAACCCGACATATAAGTGCTTAAATCTTCACTTCGATTTACATAAGATATTTACTCGATGCAGACATTAAACGAAGAAACCCGACATATAAGTGCTTAAATCAAATACGGGACAACCAAAAGCATCGGTTAGTCTACTCAACAATAAGAAACTTACAAGCACCTTTCATTCGAGATCTTATATTCGGTTTGATGCAGAGTTTTCTTTCGCGTGATGGAAAGAATAAATCCAGAAATGAACGTACGCGCAGATACATACAACAATTGTTTGGCGGGTGTAAAACGAAAATAAAGAGAATAAACAACAAGACAACAAAACTACAAACGGTGCTCCGAATCAACAAGCAGTGACTACCCATTGTAGATCGACTCGAGCCCGTTTTATGAAATAGACATTGTAGATTGGAATTTTACATTAGTTCAATAACTCATAGAAATGGATTTTATCCGAAGTGACGCGCTCACGAGATCGAACAAAAAGGAAGTAGACTCAGTGCAAACGAAAACCCGGCTATCAACTATCAAGAAAAACGAGATCTGTTTAAAAAAAATACGCTTCACTGTCAAAGACGACATTTTCATCCACTAGCGAGCCACTAAAGAACCGACAACTCTTACACGACATGTTCGAGTTATAAAGATCAATTAATAGAAACGATTAAAGCTGAGGAAACAAAATGTAATAAATACCTCACATCCAACATGAACCCATTTCTTCAGAGGAAACTCGATCTCCGTTGAAGCACACGGAATTCCAGCCCATGGTACATAGTTATCGGGATTCGGAGCATCTTCGTGTAGAAACAGCAACGGAAACAGCTTCATTTTCTTCTTCTCATCCAATCGAAGGAAAGGCACACTAGATGCCACATCTGGTTGCTTCTGCATAAGGGAAAACGAAACTCCGAAATAATCAACCTTGTTTTTCATTTCGATGTGTCAAAGAATCAACAGATAACAATTCTAGACGCAGAGAAGGCTAATAACAAAGTTCGAAACTTTAGGAACAACGAGACGAAAGAAAATGGTAAAAATCAGCTTCTAAATACAATGTCAGTGTAATGAAACAATTAAAACTACAACCTTCGACCACCTTGTTAGCCAAATTTAATTACAAAATGCGGCAAAAAAATACACAAAGATTTAAGCTTTAATCAATTAAATCACCAACCCTACTGCAATCCACAAAACATCATCAAAAATTAAAATAAATAAATAGAAGCGAAGGGCAAAATTGAGAAAAGAGGAAGAAGCAGCAAAACCTGTACGAGAATGTCAGAAGGGAAAGAAGCACAGGTGTGAATGTAAATCCAGAAACAAAGAGCAAAAGTGCCGTCTTCACCTTCATCGTTTCTTCGAAATTCGACCTTCAGATTTTTCAACGAAACGTAGTCGTTTTCCTCCAGCCCACTGAAATCGGCCATCTCCCCCCAAAGAAACTGTTGTTCGATCAAACGATGAAGAAACCCACAAAAACCCTTTTCGAGAAAAAACCCACGGTTTCGCGAATGGAGTTTCCGTTTGCAGAATTTCAAGAATCTTTTCTTTTTTCTCTCTCTTGTAGTTTCTCTCTCTTTGTTTCTCTGATGAGGGAGGGAGGGGAGGGGGGAGTGGAGTTGTTAATGGGCGTGAGTGACGGCTGTTAATTAACGGTTGGTAGAGTCATCGGCAGTTCGGGTTCTGGTCTTTTTCCCCCCGCTTCAAAATTTTGGGCTGTGTTCCTGTGTTTCGCAGCGCACAGTTGGAAATAGGATGTAGCCAATGCAACACACCGGTTCAAAACGGCGTCGTTTCTACTTTATGGTTCGACATGAATAAAATTATATTTTCTTCAAATAAATAAAAAGTAATTGGCTTCCCACTTTGTATACTTCAAATGTGAATGTTGGATGATTTTTTTTTTTCTTTTTTTTGCATTCTAGTGCAATTTAAATCAATTTATTTAGTTTCTACATGAGAGCGTTGTGACTTGTGTGCAACACAACGTAACTGAAATAAAATTTTCATTGCCCATGATTATCTATTTTTTATCCTTCAATTTCATTTTGATAAACTCATATTTTGGCACAATGATATTAAATGTAGCACAGACACCAAAACGGTGATACGGGAAAGCGGCTAATCCCAAAATTGAGGTTGCGAGAATTTGGGGGAAACATGTAAATATTAAAAGTATAAGGATATATATAAATAAGTTTTTGTTTATATATAATTTATTTTATATATATTCCGATACAAATATATTCAAAATAAATATTATTATCGACTATCATTTTGCAACTGATCATTAAATCATGTAGGGAGGCAACAAAAATATTTAGAATTTTGTTAACAAACATGTTTCTCAGAAATTACAAAATGACTCCTAACGTATCCGGCAGGTGTCCTCGAGTTAAGAAGTTGAAGCTTCCGTCCTGCATATCAATTACCTTTTCGAAAGATCTATGTGTATGTAATTCGCATATGTATGTAATCAAACTAATTTATATTTTAAAATGATAATTAAAAGAATCTTGTAAACAAATAATTATTGAAAATTATATTTTGGAACATTACATTTTGCTATGAAATTGTATGTATTTTAATTACTCTAGATAAACCTTAAACTTATAATGTTAATCGGATGGGAATTGAGGAATCAGTAACCATCCTCATTTTGAATAACAAAACGTAGAACATACGAAAGTTCACGCGAAAAAGTATTTCGAAATACTATTTTACTTGTGCTAAACGAAACAAAGAATTCAGAAAAAAAGAATCACAGAAATGTCGAACTGCACTATCGACAGTGAGAAAGTAAAACTCATCGACCCAAAGTAGCAACATTTACCAATATATATCAAATCAAACCAAACCAGTGAGCAACGTCGTGACAAAGTCCGTATTTCATTCGAACAATTACATGGTATATATAAGTTTCCAACTTATATACGTAACTAAAAAAATACAACTTTCTGTACCCGAGTTCGTCTGGCATCGATCCACTGCCCCATCTCGTATGTGCTGAAAAGGCCACTGGTCTACTTCGGATGCAGTTTCAGTGAAACGCTGCACGTATTTAAACAATACATAAATATAAATCGAACCACAATTTTTTTTTTAAATACACATATATATTATATGAATAAATGAACCTGTTGATACAATAACGCTTTCCGGTAGGTGGGGGCCCGTCGTCGAATATGTGACCAAGATGTGCATCACAAACTGCACAAACAACTTCTTGACGGGGCATGAAAATAATCGACAAATCTAGCTTTGATTTCACATTGTTCCCAATTGGCTGATAGTACGAGGGCCATCCAGTTCCACTATCGAACTTGGTGGATGACCTACACCGTAAAACGCGCACATTCGTAGACCAAGATTAGTACTTATAATTTAAAAAAAAAAAAAAAAAAGGCGAGGAAACTATATTGTATTGGTCACTAGGATATTATTTAGATGGGATGAAGTGTACGTATATTAACTCACTCGAATAACGGAGTGTCGCAGCATATGCAACTGTAAGTTCCGGGAGTTTTAGTGTTCCAATATTCTCTGTACGCGAAATGAACTTACACGATTAATGTTATATATAAGTGCAGAAGAACTAAAAACATACTATTTAAATTCGAAATATGAAATTCGAGAAAAAAGGATCGAACCCGGTGAAAGCCCTCTCGGTACCCTTTTGACGAGTAACATAAAACTGTTGGTCGGTTAACTGTTTCTTCCACTCTTTATCGCTTACAGAGCTGTAGTCCTTCTTCCCTTCTGCCTCTGTAACCACATTTTGCACAACACATAAATTACGCCTGAATTATGATTTAAACACTAAGGCCTCGTTTTTCGGCTGCCAATATAAGATTAAATTTTCTAATGAAATCAAATTGTGTTATTGGACCATGCAATGTCCAATATTTAAAGTTAGATAAACCATGATAAATTGATAATATAGTATTTTCGGGTCGAACTTGCCAGACATCAGATAAAGTCCAATTATTAAGTTAATCATGCCTAACATCTCAATCCAAACGAGGACTAAACCCAATTCTACGATCATTGATTAATCAAACATTACACTAAAACAAGGTACAATCACAATTCACAATACTGTAATTATTAAACCTCAAATTATCACAAAACATCTAATTTCTCAAAAATAATATAAAAAAAATATTCATATTCAAATATAAAGAGAACCGGTTCAGGAGAGAGAGAGAGAGAGAGAGAGAGAGAGAGAGAGAGAGAGAGAGAGAGAGAGAGAGAGAGAGAGAGAGAGAGAGAGAGAGAGAGAGCCAGAGAGAGAAAGAACAGAGAGAGACTGTTTGAGAGAAAGCTAGACAGAGATAGAT